TAATGAAGAATTCCTTTAAAATTCCACCAAACACACAACATCACTTTTTTCGCATGCAAGTCAGGTTTTGGCGTGGGCTGCGGAGCCTCATTTTTGTCCAACCATTGAGGCCGCCTTTTCAAATTAACATACAGCACCCATTTTTCATCTCCGGTAACAATTTGCTCTAAAAACAGCAAACGGTTTTGACAAGAGAGGAGCGAACTGCAAATTGTGACTCTTTGATTATGGTTGTTGTCGGTCAACTCATGAGGAACCCATTTTCCAAACTTTTGGACTTTGCCAATTGCACACAATTGATTGGAAATTGTTTTTTGTGAACAATTTAAAGTTGTCGCAAGCTCTTGTTGGGTAATTTGAGGATTTTGCACCAAAAGAGCTTGAAGAGCTTCTTGATCAAAATTGGACACACGGCCTCGACCACTCTTGTCATCTAACGAAAAATTTCCCTCGCGAAATTTCTCAAACCAACGCTGGCATTTTCTGGCGCTAACTGCATCTTGACCAAGAGCACTACAGCTGTTTTTTGCAGCCTCACTTGCTTTTCTTCCTAATTGGAACTCGTAAAGCATGCAGTGCCGAATATGCTCTTCATCCGCCATCTTCTTAGCCCTAGTTTTGCAACAAAAACCAAACCAAACACAAACTTTTTCAAGCAAAACTTGTTAATTGCACTTCACACGTTCTGTAGATACCACGTGTTTGAAGGTTATGTCAATACAAGTCAACGCCAAGCAAGATTTTAAACGAATGTTCAAAAACGACATTAATTATTACTAGACCCGATATAAGTTCTATTCTGAAATAATCTACATTGATGGTTCAAAGAGTGGGGGAGAAGGTCTCACCCCGAACCCCCAACAGTAAAACGCAAAATCATTAAAACAAAGAATGAAATGGTGGTTTTCTGAGGGGCTGGGAGGTAGAGAAAATGGGGAGATGTTGGTCAAATGGTACAAACTTTCAGTTATACAATGAAAAGTTCTGATGATTTAATACACAGTTCCCTCAGCCCAGCCTGCACCCTCTCCAATCCGGGACCCCTTGGGGGATGTCCGACTGCCAATTTAGGCCTGTCTGATTGCCCCTAAATCCCCCCATCCCCTGCTGGCCTAGTCGCCCCACCCAGCCTGCTGTTGGTCTTTACTATTACTGTGACAGCATCCCAGACAATTTGCATATTCCTCTATTATTAGAATAGATATAAAAGAGATAGGCTGCATCGTCTGTAATATGTACTAAAAATGCAATATAAAACAGGAGTAGAAGGACAACCCTGGATGTTTTAGAAAATGAATTTAAATACACTGTGATTTTATAAAGTTCTTTGAACCTCCCATAGCCTTAGCCAGTTCTACATAGGTTGTTTGGATTAAAAACCTGAGAAAGGAACACCAGCCTTCTGAGATGGGTCTAAACAATTTGAGGAGCCATCCTTCATGCCCAAGGAAGATGTTGCTATAGCTTTCAAATACCTGTTGTTTTGTAGTTTCCAATTTAAGTAAATATGATGACTGGTTACATGCAGGTCTCTTTTTTATCTCCACCAGCTTTGACTCTTGCGTTGTCTGGACTAATCACATGTCTATTTCCTAATAAAGTATTACCTAATTTATTTATTCAAACTGAGCTATCTGTTGACTCCCTAGAGTACTAATCATTGGCCAAAATACACTTGTAGGGAGTATTTATTTCTCAGCAGCACATCTTTCCGTCATCCATGCAGTTATCTCAGAGGTGGATTTTGCTTCATCAGTTGACGTGCAACAGTGAGTAGTGAAAACGTAGTCATAGAGCTTCTTTCAAGTCTTACCCTCTCTTCAGCATACAATGACCTTATTTCTTTCTCCTCAAATTTCTGTTTTTCTTCCTTTTCTTTTGGATTCAAGGCAAGAATAGGGAAAACACATGACATTCTTTTCTTTATTCAAGTACTTTCTCCCATATTCATTAAGGAGATACAAACAATACATGACTCAACAGTCCCAAGATCCTATATAAAAATACATCCCACACTCTACTCTTTCCTCCCTGTTTCTGTGACAAAATAGCTTCTTCTCTCTTAAGACTGTGCAAGACATACTAAATGTAATAAGTAGTTAAAAGGAGTGATTTTAGAATGTTTTTGTGAACTGCCTGACACTCTCTCCTCTTTTCTCTGAATCAAGAATTCCTGCAATTGGTGCTTTTTGGTGTGTGTGTCCATGTTATACAGTATAAATTCTTCCTGACCACACTCCAGAGGTTGAGTTATCAAGGTTTTTCCTGGAAATTTTCATAATAGCACAGTCAGAACAGCACTCCATCTATCTCTTGAAACCATTCTTTGTGATTTATCAGCCAGTCTCCTCTATCCTTCTCACCAGTTGAGGTTGCCTGGACTTCACCTTGAGTCAGGAAAGCTCTAGCAACTTAGTATGGCCTTAATAAGATCTTTTAATTAGAGACCAAATAAGATCCCACAAAGTCTTCTCTGGAAGATGAGATAAACATTCATTGAAACAGTATTTTGGTCCCTCAACCCTCTCTCCTTTTTTTTTTTTTTCAAGTTTTTTTTCTTTTTCCCCCCCAAGGATTCAAATGCATATTTCTAGAAACTCTAATCCTATCACTCTGTTATAGAGCCTAGAATATGAACATTTACCAAAATCCAGGTAATTCTAATGCAAGTGATGTTTCTACTCTTACTCAGCAAAATTCTAACCTCTGACCTTCCTCTATCAGTTAGATGATTTAGATTGTTTGTAAAAGAATTAAATGTTTTTGACATGTAATTTAGACAAAGCCATATTTGCAACTTTAACAAATTCATTTTCAAGGTGTGCACAGAATTTCTTTTAAAAGTACACAGCTAACATATGTGTTGGCTCTACACTTAGTGTTATTAGAACGTCTGGGATTTCCTCATCTATTTAACATTCAAGAGTAGATTTCTCACCCAGTTGGGTGGCTCAGTGAGCATCAACCTATGAACCAGGGATCAGTTTGATTGCTGGTCAGGGAACATGCCTGGATAGTGGGCTCAATTCCCAGAAAGGGGAGAGCAGAAGGCAGCTGATCAATGATTCTCTTTCATTGATGTTTCTATCTCTCTTACTTCCCCTCCCTCTTGAAATCAATATATATAATAGATTTAACAGGTGGAGTTAATAGAGAAATGCCTAACTGGTTCAATTTTTGAATGTGTATTTCTTTAGACTGTGTGATTCCTATATATATTTTGACTTTCTTATTTAAATTTATTTAGGATTTCTGATAAAATTCAATTGAAAAAATGTAATAAAAACCTTACAATATCTTACAACTATATGAGGGTGTTATCTCCAAATTAAAACCAGTTGGTGTTACTCACACAGAGCAAATTCCACAATTTATTTGAAATGGCAGACAGATCCCAAAGCCTCAGAAGCTTCTTTCAGGGGCAACAGATTATTTCTGTTCAAGAAAGAAAAAAAAAAGTACAATTTTTTTGGAGAATTTCCTAAGTCTATAATAATAAAAACATGAAATACTAAGAAACTGTATTAGAGAAGTGATTGAAGGTATGGGCTCTGTAGTCACACAGTCTGGCATCAAATCCTGCCAGTTCTCCTAGGTGGGCAATCTTGCACCTCCTTTACCTTATTTTGCTCAGTTCTATGTTTGGAATCATGATAATACCTCCCTCCTGGGGTTTTAGAAAAAGCTGTTTAACTTTTCAGTATCTTACTTCCCCGAAAATAAGACATCCTCCGAAAATAAGACCTAGCAAATGGAAAGATAAGACAACCCTGAAAATAAGACCTAGCACAACTTTGGGAGTAAAAATTAATATAAGACACTGTCTTATTTTCGGGGAAACAGGGTAGTTTCCTCCTCTTTAAAATAGTGCTAAAACCTCTAGGAATGTTTGGTTGCTGTTAAGAGTTAATCATTATATTTGTACTAGAGGCCCAGTGCATGGATTTGTGCACTGGGAGAAGGTGGTGCCTCAGCCTAGCCTGCACCCTCTTGCAGTCAGGCACCCCTCAGGGGATGTCTGCCTGCTTGGGGGATTGGGCCTAAGCAGGCAGGCAGACATCACTCTCGCAGTCGGGGGCTTTCACAGTCCAGGACCCCTCGGTCCTTACTGCCCACCTGCAGTGGAGGCAGGAGACGCTCTTGCCACTGATGCTGTGCTTGCCCCTGTGAGCCCAGCTTCTTGCTGAACGGTGCTCCCCTTGTGAGAACTTACTGACTTCAGAAGGGAAGCTTTTGGATTGAGGGTCTAACCCCTGGTGTTTAGTGTACATCATAGTGACTAGTCATTCTGATGTTCAGTCGATTTGCATATTAGGGTTTTATTATATAGGACTATAGGCCCCATGCATGAAATTTGTGCATGGGGGTGTGTGTCCCTCAGCTCAGTCTAAACCTTCTACAACCTGAGACCCCTCGAGGGATGTCCTACTGCCCGTTTAGGACCAATCCTACTGGGATCAGACCTAAATGGGCAGTAGGACATCCCTCTCACAATCTAGGACTGCTGGCTCCCAACTGCTTGTCTTCCTGTGTCCCCGATTACCCCTAACTGCTTTTGCCTGCCAGTCTGATTGCCCCTAACTGCCCTGCCCTACAGCCCTGGGTTCCCCAAATTGCCCTTCACTGCAGGACCAGTTGCCCCCAACTCCCCTCCTCTGCTGGCTTGGTCAACCCTAATTGCCCTCCCCTACAGGCTTGATAGTCCCCAGCTGCTCTTCCTTGCAGGCCTGGTCCCTCCCAACTTCTCTCCCCTGCTGGAAATCTTGTGGCAGCCATCTTGTGTCCACATGGAGGCAGCCATCTTGTGTGTTGGAGTCACAGTCAATTTGCGTATTACTCTTTTATTAGATAGGATGCCCTTTAGTATGGCATGGGTTGAGACACATGACATTTAAAAGGTGCTTGGCATATATTGAACACTCAGCAAGTGTTTTTAATTACTATAAAATACTAAGAAATTGAAAATAATTGTATTTCTTTTTACTTGTAGGTGAATAAGTATGGACAACAAAGACACATATTTGCTGAACTATAAAGGCTATAATTTTGTAGCTACTATAATTGATCCTGACTTCCTAGAAAATCTAGATGATTTTGAAATTAGAGATGATGATGTCTTCATAATTACATATCCAAAATCTGGTAAGTTTGAGGAGTGTACTCCCTATTATCAGTTTTCACTCTGGTTTGGTAATACATGTGTACATAAGAGCCCTTTTCCAGACGTTAACAGTAGCCCACCCTACATTTAGAGCACCATTTAAGATTTTTAATAAAGTTAAATAAATCACAAAATTTTCACATATAAGATTACTTAAAATGCATATATCATCATTTTTTAAAGCACCTATGAAGAAACCAAATACTGAGCCAAAGCAGATACTAGGTCAATGCTGACCTGTTCTTTCTCTGAGAATGGAAGAAAATATATTAAAAAAAACAAAAACAAACAAACAAACAAACAAAAAACACAGCAGCATTTTGATTAGCATCATCTCTCAGTCAGAACTAATTTTCATTATGCTTTTCTATTACACTAATTGCTTTTATTTCCCTATCATAATGAAATAATTTTGAACTAAAGCAAATTGTCCTCAAATCTTATAATTCCCTTAAAAAGCTTATTTTTTATATGTGCTTCTTAGAACATAGGCTGTTTGGTGTTCTTGAATCAATGTTATACAAATTTTGGTTAATATTGCCCAAAAATACACTGGAGTCAAAGTCAATACAAAAACAATCATTCCTGATTTTCATGAAAATTCTCCATTCCCTTCTTTTTACTATTGACTTTGAAATTCAGGACTCTGTTTACTTTACCCAAATTAGTAACACAATGCCTTTTCCCTGGATTTTTCTACTCTGCAGAATGTGTTGGCACATTTGATATCAGGTGTTTTTTTATTTTCCTTCATTAGCTGTTGGTGTTCCTCATTTGGCTTAGTTTTAGGTTAAGCAGCCCATAAGAATGTTTCCTTTGCCCTTAACCCAGCCTAAGTATTTGGCACACCACACACCAGCCCTTAGTCCAACCTGCTGGGGTCTTACTTTACTCATCTTACAGGGGAGGTGAGTGACTCTCCAGGATTCACCATAAATTTTATCAAACCTATTGTATCTATTAAATGTGCTCAATTGAGTAGGAATGATTGTGAGATTATTGACTCCTCACATTCTTTTAGAACATTGATTATATATTCATGAACATAGGTGCAAAAATCCTAGACCAAATAAACATAAACAAAACAAATCTAGCAATGTAAAAAACAAAAACAAAAATCCTACTGTGACCAAGGTGGCTTTATTGCAAGATTGGTTTAAAAATATATTAATGCAGCCCTAACTGATTTTTCCCAGTGGATAGAGCATCGACCTATGGACTGAAAGGTCGCAGGTTCAATTCCGGTCAAGGGCATGTACCTTGGTGGCCGGCACATCCCCATTGGGGAGTGTGCAGGAGGCAGCTGAATCAATGTTTCTTTCTCATAAAAGTTTCTAACTCTCTATCCCTCTCCTTTCCTCTCTGTAAAAAAATCAATAAAATATATTTAAAAACATATATATTAATACAATTCACACACATTATTAAAGTATAGAAGAAAGCCTGACTTATCATCTCAACAGGTGCAGAACAAGCATTTAATAAATTCAGTGTACATTCCTAAGGGAGACTATTAGCAAACTAGGAAGAAAGTGAACTTCTTTAACCTCATGAATAGAATCTACCAAAAACTACCACAGACATCAAATGCAATGGTGAGACATTTAAAAACAAGTATGAGACAAGAAAGCCTATCAGTACTTTCATCTAGCACTGTATTGGGAGACCTATACAACGTTAAAAAGAAAAGTTGAAAGGGGTCTTGAGCTCTTAAACTGTCTATATTTCCAAAAGGTAAAGCTTTAAGCAAGACTAAGGAAGGAGGAACAGAGAGAGCCGCAGAAAATCACATGAGCAGAATGTACACGAATTATAGGGAAGAACCGAGCTGAAGGATTGAACTAATCACTACTGTCACAACTCTTTTTCAGTAAAAAGCAAACTTAGAACACCTTATTTTATCTTTACTAGTTTTAATGTAAAATACATAGAAAATAAGTTGGGCCCATTTCCTTGGCATATTTAGAGTGGTTAAAAAGAAAGAAAAAGCTCCAAATAGTTTTGCAATAGACGGCATAATTATTGACATTGTTAATAAAAAATTAATTCACTGTTGAAAATGAAATTATTTGTTTTTACAGGAACCATCTGGACTCAGCAGATTCTAAGCTTGATTTATTTTGAGGGACATCGTAATAGAACAGAAAATTTGTCAACACTAGATAGAGTCCCCTTCTTGGAATACAATGTACGCAAAACAGACTTTCTCAAGAGACCATCTCCTCGCTTATTCTGTTCCCACCTCCCGTATTATTTAGTACCCAAAGGTCTCAAGCGCAAAAAAGCTAAAGTAAGTCATCTAAAGAGCTTATGGACCTTTGGCACAAACAAAAACACTGCCTTCAAATATTTTTCTCTTGCCCCACTCATCCACAGTCTTTCAAATGTGATAATTATAATATTTTATACTGTTTGACACCTTAAATATATATGGAATTATAAGTATACACATAAATTGGGTCATCCCACACATTGCTTGTAGTGTGATCATCTAGTATATAACAACATTTCTTGGATGACAGCACATGAAATTCTATTCTTTTTTTAATGGTTTAGTAGGATTTTTGTATGGCTCTACAATGTTTAGTGTATTGATAGACAGGTTAGTTGCAGCAAATGTGTATATTGCATCGCAATACACATTCTTTTTTCTTCTTTTTAATCCTCACCTGAGGATATTTTCCATTGATTTTTAGGAAGAGTGGGAGAGAGAGGGAAGACAAAGAGAGATACCCATGTGTTAGAAACACATGGATTGGTTGCCTCCTGCATGAGCCTGCACTAGGGTCCAGGCCCCGAAGGGCCTGCAACCTAGGTACCTACCCTTGATCAGAATCAAACCTGGGTTCCTTTGGTCCATATTCCTATACTTTATCCACTGAACTAAACAGACAAGGACCAAACTTTTTAGTTTTTAATATAAATTATAATATGATAACTCATGCTAATCTGAGTTTGCATTTTCCTAATCAGTAATGAGATTAAGCACTTTTTGATATGTTTACTGGCCATAGTTATTTCCTATTCTGTGACATTATGATTTTTGACCAATTTTTAAATTTCATTGTCTTTTTCTTAATGATTTGTTTTATACATATTCTGGATTCTATTAAATTATTGGTTATATGTGTTGCTTTTCTCATACTTTGTTGCTTTTTGTAACCTCATACTATGTATTTTGATTTATAGCTTTCATGAAAACATAATATAATTAAATTAATCAATTTTTATTTTAACCAAAATTTCTTTCTGTTTAGGAAATCTTTTTTTCTCTGAGATCAGAAATATATTTTTTATTTTTAAAATGTCAAATAATGCTTTCATATTTAAATACTTAATCCATTTGTAAATGATTTTTTTTTGGTCTGCTATGAGGTATGAAGTAGAATTTCAGTTTTATACTATATGGACAATTTCTTGTTTCAGTATCACCTGTTAAGTAGTTTTTCCTTTTAGAAATGCTCTCCAGTGTTCTCTGGTTTTTGTTTTTGTTTTATCAAATGTTACTTAGTGCTTACAGAGGGTGCATTGAAACAGTTTCTATGCAGGGTAATTTGTAGTATTATCCAAATAAATAATTTTACTTTTAGAAGTTATTCCTATATGCTTGCACATGTGAAATGTCCTATGAGTAAAGCTGATTACTTCAACAGTCTTTGTTTTTTTTTTTTGTTTTTTTTGCTTTTTAAATATATTTTATTGATTTTTCACAGAGAGGAAGAGAGAGAGGGATAGAAAGTTAGAAACATCGATGAGAGAGAATCATCAATCAGCTGCCTCTTGCACACCCCCTACGGGGTATGCCCCCGCAACCAAGGTACATGCCCTTGACCGGAATCGAACCCGGGACCTTTCAGTCCCCAGGCCGACGCTCTATCCACTGAGCCAAACCAGTCCCGGCTTCAACAGTCTTTGTAATAGAAAAAAAATGGCTATAACCTAAATTTCCATGACAAGTAGGCTGGATGAAACAAATTATTATGCATTTATATAGTGAAATATGTTGGTGTGAAAAAGGAGCAACAAAAATAACAACGACCTGTAAGGACAACCAACAATTGTTAAAATTATTTTATTTTACTATCCCCCCCTGCAGATTGTTTACGTCTACAGAAACCCAAAAGATGTTATGACTTCATACTTTCATTTCTCAAATGTGGTGGTCACACTTGAAGCTGGGAATGATATGGAATATTTTATGAAAAGGTTTCTAGATGGGAATGGTAACTATGAATTTATGCATTCAACTTGTTCATAAGGTCATGATGCCATCTAGCCAGATTCTCAAACTTGGGGAACATATTTGAAGGAAATAAAGAAGAAATGATAGAAGCTGGATGCACACCAGTGGCTACTACTCTGGTAACTTAATTTGCCACCCACTGGCTTTTCTGTTCTCACCAGCACCACTTTGGGAACTGTTATGGTTGCAAAGGCATATTGTTTAAGATTACTTTGACCAGATCATAAAAGAACCATAATGGTTACCAGTTCAAAGTGGATGCAGTGTTTGTGTTCTGTCATGGACCTGTGGTAGCGGTAGAATATTCATTTCAACACTAAGGAGGATAGATTGATGGCAGAGTCTTGTGGGATGTGGAATTGGGGCTCGCACTTACATAGAAGATTAGATTCAGGTTCTGTCTTATAGATATCTGAAGTTGCTACCCAGAGATCTTAAAAATAGATAATAAAAAGAGAAATAAAGAACATTTTTTTTTTAGGTGGGAGAAGTAAATAAGGAGCTCACCCTAAATCTTCACAATCAGTTGTCTGGGCTTCTTATTTTCTTCACTGCTGCTGCTTTTCCTACAGACATAGGAGAGGCAGGCTTCCATTGAAATCAGGTGATTGTTTCCCAAAGCACCATTTTACCAGGTCACACAGATGTCTAGTGGTGGGGGCTCTCCTTTCCTTCCGGAGGATGCCAGAACAGAAAAGAGACTCTATGTGCTGTGTGGTAAGTGCGCCATCTTTCCCTTGTCACTGATTGATTTCCCCCCAGTGGTAGGAAGCCGTTGGTTTGATCACGTCAGAGGCTGGTATGAGCACAGACATGACTTCAGCATTCTGTTCATGATGTATGAGGAAATGAAAAAGGTAAGAGGCAAAGGTTATTTTTAACAATTATTTCTTTGAACCCCTTTTTTATTTTGGTTTTAATGAACCACATTTTCCTCATTTTCTTGGGACCTATCTATTTCTCATGCTTTTTCAGGGATTTCTAACTGCCTGCCCCTCCCTTAATTATTGGCTCCCTCAGGGCTCTCCTCTCACTGTACACAGTCATCTCCTGTGGTTCCTTTCCATGTCCCCATCTGTGTCAATAAGGCAAACTCACAAGACTAGTGATTGCAAAAAGGGCAAAGGCACTTTCAAATGCTGGGGCCATCCCTGGCCCGTGTGACTAGTTGGTCTTCCTATGCGCTGAAGGGTTGCTGGTTCTATTCCCAGGAGGGCCTGGGTTGCAGACTTGATCCCTGGTAGGAGGCACGATAGAAGTCTCTAACAAAGCTGACAACCAGAGCACTCATTTTCATAGAAGGAATAGGAAAGATATATTAATAGGAAAAGTAATATATCTCAGTCAAAATTTAGACTTACAGAAAGTCCAATCATCTTCAGTTTTCCAAAACGTGATCAAGATGTTGGGATGTAACTCATGCATTCTTTGTAAGCTGAATAGTTTCTCATACCCACAATTCTTTCAGGATCTCAGAAGTTCTGTGCTTAAAATCAGCCGTTTTCTTGAGAAAGAACTGAGTGAAGAGGATGTGGACGCTATTGTGAAACAGGCTACATTTCAGAACATGAAGTCTGACCCAAAAGCAAATTATGATGAGATTCTAAAACATGAAGTTGGGAAAAGAACAGATGAGGGACATTTTCTGCGCAAAGGTGATGCTCAAGGGGTTTTAGAAGCAAAAGTGTTGAGAGTTCCGTGATTGGTTGGTCCCTACACTAATTAAGGGGTGTTTACTGAGTCTTTCTAAGTACTGCCATTGGAACCTGGAGAGAATCAAAGATTTTAACTGCAAATGGCCTTGAAAAGTATCCCAGGACACTAAACAATTTTGTAGTACATAGTTTAACACTTGAACCTAATTAATCAATATTACATTCCTTCTTTTTAGCCTACATGTCCCTACTCTTAAAAATTGGTTAGCAACTGCCAAAAACCAGTTTGGCTCAGTGGATAGAGTGTCAGCCTGTGGACTGAAAGGTCCCAGATTCAATTTCGGTCAAGGGCATATGCCTTGGTTGGGGGCACATCCCCAGTAGGAGGGGTACAGGAGGCAGCTGATTGATGTTTCCCTCTCATTGATGTTTCTAACTCTCTATCCCTCTTCCTTCCTCTGTAAAAAAATCAATAAGAAGTATTTTTTTTAAAAGGCTAGATATTTAATAAATCAATAAAATTAGTTAGCAAGTCTTACCTGAAGGTGATGTATAAATGTGACCAAGACAGCTCCAATTATTGGTTTTCTTTATTTCTCCTAGAACATTCTAGAAGTAAACCCAACAGGTATTTTGTTGTGGGAATGTGAATTTGAGTTAATAGTTATTTCCTCATGTATCAGATTTCTTCAGTGTAAAAGTAGGTTAATACTTCATGAAACCAATATGCTAGGAATTCAAGTACTTAATAACAACATGAAATTAATTTTTATTGTGCTTTTATAACATGCCAGGAATTAAGAATGAATGTATTTCCCTTCCTGATACTTCTTAATTTCAATTAAAATATTTTTTGATCTTTTAATATACATTTTTCTAGAACATAATTTGTACTTATTTTATTCATATTTTATTCACTAATTTATCCACAACTTAGCATTTTGAGATGGATAGTTATTCTAAATTAATGAAGATCTTGAAATTGCTCTTGATATTGCTATTTTTAAAAAAGTGTTCCTTTTGTCCCATTTACTATCAGCTTTTAAGTCTCATTGCTTGATTATATCAAATACAAAGTAATTCTCATACTCATAAATAGCTTGCTAACAGTCCCAAATGCCAATGATAATCTTACCTAAAAATAGAGAAACATGTAAATAGACTACCTTTGCTACGCCCACAGCCAATCAGAGTGAGCATGCAAATTAACCAAATAAAGATGGCAGTTAATTTGCATAATCCCAACCTGCCATCAGGTGGAGGCTTTAGGCTTGGGGAGGTGTTGGAGGGGAATCTCTTCCCAAACCTAAAGCTTGGGGTGGAGGTTTTAGGTTTGGGAAGGGGCTGAGCTTGGGATCAAAAGGAATGGAAAAATCTCAATGGAAACATATCCTCAGGTGAGGATAAAAAGAAAAATAAAGAAACAAATGTCATATCCTATGAAAGACACATCTTGAAAATACTTAAGAAAGTTGTCATTCTTTTATGGTGAAGGGACTGGAGTCTGTGTTGATGAAAATACCTTGGCGGCTGCGGTGACTGGCAGTGGCTGCAGCAGCAGGGTAATGGAGCTGGCACCTTCCCCTGATCATCCTGGTAACCTCCGGCAAAGGGAGGCCAGACTGCGGCTTAGGTGTGCTCCCAATGGGAAGCGGGCTTAAGCCATCCATAGGATATCCCCTGAGGGCTCCCAGTATGTGAGAGGGGGCAGGCTGGGCTGATGGACCCCTACCTCAGTGCACAGATTTCCTGCACCAGGCACCTAATGTTTAAAAAAGAAAATTTGATAGTGGAAAATGCCCAATAATCTTCATTAAAAAATTGTCTTAATGACAGTTTCTAACCTCCTTCAAGTAAAACTGAAGCAATGATAGCTCTGAACACCCTCTGTGACCTTGGTTTCATTACTTGAAAATCTTTGGGTTTCTTTTTTTTTTTTTTTTAAGTTTTAAAGTATGTTTTTATTGATTTCACAGATGAAGGGAGAGATAGAAACATCATTGATGAGAGAGAATCATTGGTTGGTTGCCTCCTGCACACCACACACTGAGGAGTCAGATTGTGACCTGACCAGGAATCAAACTGTGACCTGCTGGTTCGTAGGTCAACACTCAACCACTGAGCCCTGCTGGCTGGTCTTTCTTTTCAATTTTATTTATTATATCTTTAGCTTTTTATTTATTTATTTTTACTTTTTAAATTATAGTTGAGATTCAAGATTATTTTATATTAGTTTCAGCTATGCAGCATAGCAGTTAGACATTTATATAATTTATGAAGTGATTCCCCCAATAATTAGAGTACCCACTTGGCACAATCCATAGTTATTACAATATTATTGACCATATTCCCTACACTGTATTTTACATCCCATGACTATTTTGTAATTACCAGGCTATCCTTCTTAATCCCTTCAGTATTTTCAATTTTAAAAATGAAGAAATGCTGATATTGTGGAGTTGTGTTAAGAATTATATTAGAGGATACAAATAGTTTGTCAAATATGGTGCCCGGCATTTATTTTCTTTTTATTTTTAGATATAAATTTTCTCTTTATTTTATTCTTTCCCCATTCCCATTTATCTCCCGTATCCCATCTTCCACCTCGAGCCATCTCTCTCCCTCACACAATCACCACACTGTTGTCCATGTCCATGAGTTCTTTCTGGTTTTTTCCCTCCATCTCTGCACCCCACACTCCAAATAGTTACCCCATACCAGAGTTGTCTGATTGCTCTCTAGGAATCTATTTTGCTTGTTAGTTCAGTTTGTTCATAAATTCCACATATGAGTGAAATGATATGGTACTTGTATTTCTTTGGTGCCTGGTTTTCAGTAAAATATATTAAGAATCTCTAGCCTAGTCATCTATTTTACTCTTGTTATACCATTGCAATAAAGGCTACAATTTAATGGTATTGGTTGGTGAAAGCATACTAGCTGAGGAGAGTAAACTTTATAAGTGTTTTTAAGTTTATTTCTTAGTTCATTTCTGTGTAAGGAAACATGAAGTATCAAACCCATGGAGAACTAACAGGTACTTAGTGTGGCTGGCAGAGGATATTGAAGTGGATGGGAAACAACTCCTGCCCGGATAGTGCCACTTACTCACCCAGGTGCCATCGTGTGCTCATTTCTAGGTACCGTTGGAGACTGGAAACATAACTTCACAGTGGAGCAAAATGAAAGATTTGACAAAATATTCCAAAGGAACATGAAAGATTTGCCTTTGAAGATCATCTGGGATTTAAATGAGGAGTAAAATCAGTGTAAAAGAATTCCAAAAACATCTACTAACTAGAGAGGCTATTTTAATATACACATTAATTTGTGCTTCTTATAGAAATGTTAACTATAAAACTTTATTAATGAAAAATGAGTAAACTGTGCTTAGATTAGTGGCCAGGAGTTTGATAAACACTTTGAAATTTCAAAAATTAAAATGATGTAGGAGATAGTCTACATTGATATCCTGTATTATAAATTGAAAAACAGGAAGCATTTAATAGGAATTATAAATGTTCTGAGTTTTCAGTAGTGTGTATTTTTTCTTTATCTACAATTATATTTATTATTAATGAAGCATTAAAATGTATTTTATTATTATAATTAAATATTAATTCTTTTATTTAAAATAATTGTGAATGTTGAAATAGAGAACTCTTATGAAAGCACATGGATCTATTTAATACTTTACCAGATCACTAAAATTTCTTTTTATATATTGATTTTGAGAGTATAAGGGACTGTCTAAAAATAAAAGTTGAGTCAAAGAACAAGGAATCGTCTACAAATAGCAGAGAATTTTAAACAGTAATTTTACAAAATAGAGACCCACATGATTTCCATATTCTCAGGTGAATTTCATAGAGTATTCTCTATGCTTATCTATAAACTAAAGGATTTGTTTCCTAGAAGCCACCTTCTAGCACTGATTCAAACTCAAGCCAAGGTTTTAACTATACTGTCTTAATTCTCCTACTATCCAGTAAAAGGATGACATTAATGCTCAGCAGTTTGTGGGTGAAAATATTATTTTCTATTATCTATAACCAATCTCATCTTATTCTCAAATCCTCCTTCTCACTATAAAAATATTTTAGGCCTGTAAATTAAAGATCACATGTCTCTTGCAATTAGACTTCAAGAATATTAAGTGATAGTTATATTTTTTTAAAAAATAGTGTTGAAGCAAATACGATTTTCCTTCTTTTTCTTGTTCCATATTTTTATATGCAAAATTAGGCATATGCCCAAAGCTTGTGTTGTGGCTGTGAATGGGAGAAATGAGATTTATATGAATTTTATTCTGAATTACCATATAATACAAATACATTTTTTCCATTTAATAAGAATTTTTTGTTCCTATGGAATTAGTCTATTTTGCTAAAGACAGGGTATATTTCTCAGATTGCTTTTTCTAATGAGTCATATATAATAAAAGGCCAATATGCAAATCAATTTGCAGAATGACCAGTCACTATGATGTGCACTGACCACCAGGGGGCAGATGCTCAATGCAGGACCTGCCCCTTGGTGGTCAGTGCACTCCCACAGGGGGAGTGCCACTCGTACAGAAGCCTAGCTCACAGCTGGCAAGCCCAGTAGTGGCTATGGGAGCTTCTTTTGCCTCCAAGGCAGCACTAAGGACCCTGGGGTATGTCTGCCTGCTGGCTTACCAGGGAGGGGGCCTAAGCTGGCAGTCAGACATCCCCCCAGGAGTCTCACCCTTTGAGAGTGTGCAGGGCAGGCTGAAGGCCCACCCTCAGTGCATGAATATTGTGTACCAGGCCTGTATTAAATTTCTATACCTCTTTTAATCATGAAAAGGACACTATTGCTATTTTATCAACCGAATTCAGTAAATTGTCTTTAAAATATACTCACGATTGCCATCTATTGGTTACATACTCTATTGCATTTTTAGCTGCCACTAATATTCTGCAGCTGAGCCCAGCTCCAGAGACAAAGAGGGCAAAATAAGACAAACAAAACAAAAA